ACCATTTCCTTCAGTCTGTTCACAATGGAGCAACTCTACCCCTCCCCCACATCATCTACTTCTATTAATTTTTAAAGAACTTTTAAAATAAAAGTTTGCATTGCTTTAATTTGTCATGGAACATATTTAAAAGAAGATTTTAATTAGGAGCATTCTATAGGTGTAAGCTGGTTCGTTTGCTTTTGTCTTTAACCTTGGTCTCAGGCCAACTTCTTTTCAATGACACCAAAGTGATAATCTACAATCTGTTGCCCTGCTTCTGATATGACAAGGAAAAGGAACTGTTTTATACAATATCAGACTGCCTCTAAGTTGCTATTCCTATTTGCATGCACTTGGAAGTAAGCCCCTTTGAAGACAATGAGTAAATGCATAAGATTAGTCTTCATGTAGCTAGGAAAAACCTTCTTAAATGTCTCAAACCAAGGGTAGTAAGTGCAGTTTGTGTTTCTACAATGGTAAGCAATGGTAAACCAGATCTTGGAAACTAAACAGGGTCAGCCCTGGCTAGTACTTGGGTGGGAGACCACCAAGGAATACCAGGGTCACGATGTGAAGGCAGGCCATGGCAAACCACCTCTGAAGGTCTCTTGCCTTGAAAACCCCACAGGGTTGCCGTAAGTCAGCTGTGACTTGATTGCAAAAAAGTACATATAATGAGACTTACTGGGAATTTTTTTTTACAATTGTTTTTTAAGTTCCCTATATTAAGAGGAAAGTGAATATGCCTATTTATTTTTGTCAAGGATGCTGCCAAAAGCTAGGAAGAACTAGCTGAAACATTTCACCTTCTCATCACTAACTGTTGGGGAAACACATCCACTTAGATTGATTCACTCTTACTGATTCCAGTAGAGGAATTCCAGAAGCAAAGAAGAAAACTATTTGTTTATCTAGTGATAAAAGAATGGGTAAAAGGTGGAGAAAATCAATCTTTTTTTTTAATGTACACTTTTTAAAAAAATCTGATGGACTGGGAGAGAACTTTGTGGCGCCAAAAATGAATGTTAGAAATCAAAGATCCTGCTGAGTAGAGCTGAAGAATGATGTAGTGGAGTGGAGTGAACTTTCTTCATGCCAACCAATGCGGGAGGACCTAGTCACTGCAAACAGCAAGACTCTTCTGATAGTGGGCCATCAGAACATTTGACTTTTCTTAAGCAGAATCTCATCTGAGTTTGATTACTTCCCCCCTCCCCCTTTGTCTTGTTAAGTAATATCATGAAAGTTTGAATTCTGTGTATAAAGCACTTTAGAAATGTGCATGTCTGTATCGCCTGAGATGTGATTAGCAGGGATTTGCTTTCCCCATTGCTATCCCCAGGTGACATATTGCCCCTTCCCTAAGAGATGAGACAGGTGATATTCCTTCAGGCTTTTCAGAGCTGTCTGATAACTTTATTATTGTGGAAGGCCTCCAAATTCCCATCATATTACTCTTTTATTGTAATGTTTAATATTGTGATTTTATTGATAAATTGTTGCTTTTTTATTATCCTGCTTGGGTGCTTCAGTTAGACGCAGCTTGGAGAGAATATACATTTTCAGAATAAATAAAGGAGGAGAGATTTTTACCTTTATGCTGTGGAAATATTGTTTACCTAATGCTGTTTATTTTGCAAAGTAACATAAGTAAAGGAGGAATACTGTATGTAGTGGATTTCTGAAATTTCACAGTTCAAAACTGAAGGACTTCCTGCCCAATAAAGTAATGCCCAAATCTACTCCCATCCCCCTTTGTTGTGTGTTTGTGGATAAATGTAACAAGTATAACACAAAGTACACAACACTTGCCAGTTAACTTTTTTATTGACTTGCACGAAAAGAGTGCTTAGCTATTTTTCCAAAAGGCAAGTCCCTGATGGCACAAAATTAGCACATGAGGATAGGAAACAAATCTGTCGCCACTGCTTCTATTCTGCTCATACAGAAGAGGTTCTAGCTGACCTTCCGTGCAGCTGCCTGTAGAAAGACGTGCTGTGCCAGTTCCCCTCATATCAATATGCACAGCAGCAGTGTGCAGTAGCTTAGCAGTAATGATATTGCATGTTCAGATGCCTGTGTCTCGAGTTGTGGTGGAAAGATAATGTGTGTATAAGCAGTACTGCTATTGCAGCTCACACTGTCATGGCTACCGAGAATGGTTGAGGGGCTACATTTCAGAAGAGGGAGAAACATCAGACTGAGAAATAGTGTTCACTGGTGAAAAACTGTTGTCTCAGCTCTCCAGTCACATGTAATGACTCTCTCTACTTTGCTTGTACTAGAAGGTGAGGAATGATCGGCTGTAAGTACACTCCAGAGTAATTCACCCCAGCTAAAAGGCAGTACAATGAGAACCTAACGATGGAGTTGAATATTACTTACCCATACGGAGGCCAGACAAAAGCTCTTCCATGGGGCACCACGTCTCATAGTAGAGCCCACATGAGCAAACCCAGCTATGTATAATGTCTCCATGCTGCCTAGAGAATGTGCTTTGGGAGCAGGGAGAGCTTTACTGAGGTTAATGCCAATTCTGTGCCAGATAGCTGGAGAATATCCTTTCACATGTGTCATGTTGGTCTATGTTAAAATAAGTGATACCAAAAGATAAGGTGACATCTTTTTATTGGACAAATTTCTGAAGTTCAAAAGAGGATCCAATTTTTTTTAAAAAAAAAAACCCTTCCCCTATTTTGTCATTATACATTTCACATTTTGTGTTCCTCTTGTAGGACAGATGATATAGTCCACAACACGTAAACTGATTAATCCAGAGCAGTTTTAGACACACCATACATTTCTATGGAACCTACCCCTTTAAAAAGTTACCTTCTGTCTTCAAGTCATGACAGAGGTGGAAAGCAGTTAACTCCTGGTAGATTCTCATTAACTTCTAGTGAATTGTCTCTCTCTATGGCATCACTTAGCGATCAGCTACTTGATGGTAACTGGGTGCTTGGCCCTTGTCTCAGCAATTGGGCAATAAACTATAATGTGTATGCATACGCTTCAAAAGACCTCAATGACTATAGGAAGCACACTGAGAATTACTCCTGAATCCAAGCAACCCAATTACTACAAAACTTAATGGGACTAGTCCAAAGTTTTTGTTTGTTTGTTTTTTGGTAACTGTTGGGAAAGTAATAGTAACCTTATGGGTTTGTAGGTATCAGCATCCTGTGATTGTTCAAGGAAGATGATATTTGAAGTATGTTTAGGTATTTGCTGGTAAATAGTTCTCCAATTCTTTCTCTCTGAAAGGTTTCATAGGCATTGGGAGTGGGGTTTACACGTTTAACAGTTTCCTTTTTCCAAATTGCACTGCGCTCTTACAAAGTTCTTTCTGCAAGAGCATTAGAAAAGAAAAAAAGCAGAAATGAAAGCAATCCTGTTACCGTGTAGTGTCCCCCCCTATTGTGTGTTAAATAGGAATAATTCACTCCATGGAGAAAACTGTACACCAACACTACCCAGCAATAACAACAATGAAAGAGAGAGATAAAACAAGATGTGGTGAGCAAAGAAACCACATAATCCAGAGCCACCCCAGAGATGATAATGAATAATAATATGAGAAGCCAAAGCCCATTAGGGCTCGTTGAATAGATAGGGAGCTGGTGGAATTTAGACGCCTTGTGAAGGGAAGGCCGCGTTCTTCTATCCGACTATCAAGCAAGTTGTTCCGTAATTAAAGGCAGCTTTGAAGCAACGTTGTCAGGGGGTGATTTGAAGGGAGGGGAAGAGCATCTCCCCAGTCTTGTTCCTGTAATAAGAAGGAAGAAACACATGCTGCCTCTGAACCTTCATATGCCGCCAAAGGATTTCCAACAAAGAGAATGTTTGCAAGAGGATTTTTTTAAAGTGTATGTTCCTCACCAACAGAAAGATAAACAGACATGCTGGCTGGCTAGGTATGCTGTCATCATACCATTTACACTAAAATATCCTTCTCAAGTCCATGGGCCTATTCCAGAATAAATGGTATGAGAACTGCTGCAGTCCAGGAGATGTTTGGGTTTATGGCTATATGTAAAACTGGAAATGCATTTACATTGTGGATACATATTTGTGCATATTAAGTGTATGTCAGCACATGGATATATTCACACACAGTCTTCACACTCTAATAATATTTATATAGTGTTTTCACATGCATTATCTCTCTTATCCTTGCAACAACACTGAACGATAAGCCAGTATTTTCCTCTCTGTGTTACTGATGGGCAGCTGAGATGGAATGACTTGCCTGAAACAACCAAAATAGTTCTTAGCCAAGCAAACTTTGAATTGATTGAAGAACTCCCTGGCCCATCATTTATGCTCTTACATGACAACAGCCAGTGGCACATGCAGATAGATACGTGTAGGTCATATCTGATGAGTGGAGGATGTGTTCCTTGTTGGAATAACTTAGAAACTGCACAGAAGTACTGGCTTAGGTCAAAACGAGCCTGTTCTCTTTGGGCCCTATCTAGCCTAGGTAAAGGTAAAGGTTCCCTTGCTCAAAAGCCAGTCGAATCCGACTCTAGGGTTGCGGTGCTCATCTCCGTTTCAAAGCCGAAGAGCCAGCGTTGTCCGAAGACGTTTCCGTGGTCATGTGGCCGGCATGACTAAACACCAAGGCGCACGGAACGCTGTTACCTTCCCACCAAAGTGGTGCCTATTTATCTACTTGCAATTTCTTGCTTTCAAACTGCTAGGCTGGCAGGAGCTGGAACTAGAGACGGGAGCTCACTCCGTCATGCGGCACCCGGGTCTCGAACTGCTGAACTACTGACCTTCCACAGCCTGCAGTTCAGCATCTTAACCAGTTGAGCTATCACAGCTCCTCTATCTAGCCTACACCACTATTATTACAGAAATCGTGTCCTAGATAAACAGGAAAAGGTGCTGGAGCCTGACAGTGTGTGCTAAGCTGAGTAGCATTCCTTCTCCCAGGGACAGCTGACATATTAACAATGCTTTGCTGCAGCAAGAGTTCTCTCTCTCCCCCCCCTCGGTCTGTGCTTTTTCTTAAGAGTTTTTGTGTCTCTGCATGTGCTTGTTCCAAGGAGGAGAGGAAAAGTGTAGTAAGAGGACTACATTGTCACAATCCTCCTGAGTACAAAATCAACATTTCTGGTTTGTTGCATAGACTGAGAAGAACCACAATTCCAAGTGGATCTTCCTGGATTTAGAAATTTTGCTTCCTCCTAATTCTAATTCCTAAATTATCTAGAAAAGTTGACCATTTCTACCAAATGTTGTTTGCTTTTCTTAACATATCTCAGCACATACTGTGGATAACATGGAGTAATCATTAGTATCATTGTTGCTAGATAACGTGGGATAGATAATCCGATTTCAGTTTGAAATTATCCTTAAGACTTTGAGTTGTTTCACATGCGAATATCTGATTATCATTATTAGGCTCTGGGGTTGGACCCTGTGATTCCATTCTACTAAGTAACTTTCCTCTGTCAGGATATGTCTCATCTACCAGTGGAAGGTCCCTATGTTAATGTAACAGACTAACAGGATCCAACCCTAACATTCTAACTGGAATGTCTCAGACACCCATTTAACTTGGGATCAGCTCTTTCCAAAAACAGGAATAGACAAAAAGCCTGCACACTCCTAGGCAAGTCAAAACCATCAAGGCAAGCTTTTCACCACAGAAACATTTTCAGAAAGGGTTTTTGTTGTTGTCTTAAATTGTAATGGACTCTTGCATATGAAAATTATACTTTTCAGGCACAGCTCACATACCACACTAATCTGTAGAACAAAGTTTGAATTCAGTAGCACCTTTAAGACCAAGAAAATTTTATTCAAGGTATAAGCTTTTGTGTGCAAGCACACTTCTTCAGATCAGAAGTGTGCTTGCACACAAACGCTTATACCTTGAATAAAATTTTCTTGGTCTAAAAACTGTCACTAAACCCAAACTTTGTTCTGCTGCTTCAGACCAACACAGCTACCCACCTGAACCTACACTAATTTCTGTAAGGCATTGTCTTGTCAAAGACAGTCTTCTACCAAGCTGTTTGGCTGAGGCAGGATTCTCTCTGGAAATTGCGTATGGGGAAAGACTGCTACTGAGGACATGCCCATATGGCCCAGTTTTCAGAAACTAGATTCATTGATTCAGTACACTGGCTTATACTCGTCCCCAGTGGTTGCTATTGCTAAGAGGTAGTATTGTAGACAGGAATGTGGAATGCTATGGTATAGCCCAATCTCATCAAATCTCAAAAGATAAGCAGGGTTGGTATTTGGATGAAGGACCATCAAGGAAGGCTCTGTAGAGATGGTAACTGCAAACCACCTCTGCTTCTCACTTGCCTTGAATGCCCCTTGCTGGGGTCACCATGTCAGTTATCTCTTGACAGCTCATACATATGTTGTACTGCATGCAGTCTGATATAGGCCCCCCCACCCCACCCCCAAAAAACAGGAGCACCAGAAACTCTTCGTGGAGATATCTGGAGAAGGGAAAGGGACACATACAAACTACCTCAGCCTAAAGGACACTGGGAAGCAAGTGGAGTATCAAGCTCTTTTCCTTGGGCCTGTTGCATCAGGGAACAGCACTCCTCCTGACCCACTGCAGACACCACCAGAATTCCAGCTATCCACAAGAGCACAAAGACATATAGAAAGTTTTTCAACTTCAGGTCTGCAAGGACAAACTGTCAGATAAAGATGGTAGTGAGGGGTAAGAAAACCCCACAGGTCCCATACCATATTTTTGGACATAGCACATCTCTGTGTGCTATGCAGGACAGCAAGAAATCAACACTGGCTCTGATCTGGGCATATATGATACTAAAGATCTGCACACCTACCTGATGTCTAAACCAAACCCCACACAAATGTGTATTTCCACTATACAGCAGCACACACCTACTGTCAAGCTCCTGCCTTGAAGCTGTGAGTCTGACTCATACCATGCAAACCACCCCGATCATTTGTGTAGGCTGCTTCATACATTACAACTTGGGCTTTGTTTCCACTGTTGTAAAAACCTGTCTTAAGAGGCTGCAAAAAAAATCTGGATATGATCCTAAAAAGACCTTGCACATTCAGCTCCCAGTGACCAACCCACACCGCCAGAAAACCAACAGCCTTAAGCCCATTAGAGAGGGGCGATTGCTTGTTATTATTATAGACACAAGAAAGTTACTGCCCTCCAGGACATAATTTATGTCTATTTTTAATTCCAGATCTCATGCCTGGATCACACTAAATAAAAACGGATGAAAGCATTCCAAAGTGGGAAATGAGCACATTTCCCTTGTCACAGAGCAATGACTGCATCCTTGCATATCTTCACACAATGCAGAAGCATAGGGAATGCACAGCCACAATACTGGGTGATGGTGATTGGCTTTGATTACTATAAAAGGTGATCAGAAAAGGCTAAGAGTGGGTTGACGTCCAGTAGCCATGACAGCTAAACTCAGCCCTGAAATCTCTTTCACGAAAAGGGAACACGGCTGTCTACTGGAAGCCCGTGATGATGTAGGGCACGATGTGCAGAAAAGCCAGAGTGGTCAGGGTGTGTGTATGTGCATGCTATTCTTTCTTTCCTATAATAAGAATTGTTTCACCCAAAGTTTCTTTTCCACCTGGACATCAGTGGCATTGGTCAGCTGAAAGCCACCCTCCTGGTGATGACCATGCTAAACAGCAAGGGTCCTGGCATATGTGCTACTAAAAGAACATCTGAACTTTTCTCATGCTGATGAGGCACACACATGAGTGTGCAGTTCCACATCGACCCTGTAGTTAATAGAGGATTAAAAAACAGAAGTCTGCTTTTCAAAATGAATCTATATTCCAGCGCATGCAAGTGTTCCATTTCAGGAACTGCTGCAGGAAATGCCATAACAAAAAGCTAAACACAACACTAGAGAAGCATGCTTTGCTCACTGAACCAAGTGCAGGGCTACATTTCCAATGTGGACAGCCTTGGTGTCTTTGGCTGGCCAGCCTACTACTATTTTTCTTAATACACAAAACTCAAGGGACTGAATGTTCCCCCTGCAGCAGCTTTGAACGCTGAAGGACGATTTAGAAGGAGCTATAAAATACCTTGACCTGTTTGCCCTGTCCTGGAGGTCTGTGAAGAGAAGCAAGAAAAAGAACTTAGAGAAGGTGTGCAGGAGGGAAAGATTCATTCTCCATCCCAACCCCCCTGTGTGTCCACATATTCCCGGAACCAGACTGGCTTCTTGGCCTGAGACAGTTTGTCTTGAAAAGCGGTTATTCACACTAGACACTTCTCCTCCCGCTCCGTTCGTGAAAGCCAGTTGCCTTTCTGGCCGCTGTGGGGCGCTCAAGCCCTACTCTGAGTCTCGCTGCGGCTGGGAAAAGAAGAACTCTCCTAGAACAGATGCTGCACTGGAGGGATTGGGGGGAAGGGGAATAAAAGGGGGGGGAGATGAGAGGGCAGGGGTGGGGGAGGGAAGAGAAGCTTTATTCTCTAATGCACTCGCTGGGGAGACTTTGTTACAAAACAGATTCATGCAAGAAGGGCAGGCGGGCTGTGTTGTACAATGAACTCTCCGGGGAAGGATAAATCCAGGGACACAGAGAATCTTTATGGCAGAGGGGCATTTGGCTGGCTCGAAGCCCCCCGCCCCCGTCCTCCGTGGTCTCTATCTGCTGGAAGAAGGCTGGCTCAGCTCTGCAAGGCAGCCATGAGCCTGCCGTCTCCAGCCCAGTCTGTCTCGCGCAAAGGCCCTGCCCAGCACCCGGCCTCGCCCTGGCCCTCCTCCT